CGGAATTGGTTTTGGTGAATGAGACATTGACCGGCGAATTTGTCGATGACGATCCTCGTTGTCGAAAACACAACACTTCGCAAGGTAACGTTCCCCACTCTCCACCATTGGCAGGAATAGTGCAAACCCCTTTTTTTGAAATAATCTTTCCAACTGACCATCCATTTGTTTGTTCTTTACGCGCGATATAAATCGGTTTCCGGTCATACAGTCTTCCGCCACATATGGCCGAAGGAGGAACGGGGTCAAAGCAGTGCGCTAACCATTCGTATCCCAGCGCTTGGGATGAATCAGGATCCGAATCCTGAGATCTAATTATTTGAGAGAAAACGAGGACAATTTTGTGATGCCGATAAAATAATTTGAATTGATGAATTGAAACGAATTGAATTTCAATAGAGAAATTGATGAGTCTTTTACAGTTCCTGTGAAACTGGAAAACATGTCGAAAGCGGTAGCGCGTCTGAGAGTATCTATGTACCGGTCGGATAAGGAACTCTCGTCTACATTGAGCATCCTAGTCAGCTTGACTAACCTGCGGTTAGTTTGTGAATGTGAATTCAGCCACGCAATTTGCAATACTAAAGGACGAGTCTGTTCAGCTTTTGGTGTGATAGTTTCATGAGAAGGCCGGTTTCAAAGATTGAATCCATCGAAAGAAGCAAATCGTGCGGGTGAAACGTGATGCGGACAACCACATCAGTGCATCTTGGGACTCTGAGTTGCCGAATGGTGCAAATGTGGATAGCTTGTCACTCACGGAAACGTTTATGTTGGCACAAATTACCCCAAACGTTGACGTTTACTTCTAGAAAAACATCAGCTACGAATAGGCAATTCGTTTTGTTCATCAAACCTTGGTACGTATGGGCAAACATCAGACAAATTTGAATCGAGTATTCTTAAACGTGGCTTTGGAAAGCCATGTTTCTGCCTTCTCTGGTCAAGAGACAGTACTCTCTACAGGCGTTTAAATTAACCACCAGTTTCTATGTTCTTTTACTCGTTTGATTCCGTCGTCTCCCACTTCCATCTACTTTCACGTGCTCAATTCGGTAACAATTAATAGACAATACGACACCGTATTGAAACCCACCGTGGCATACTTCCGATTATTGACGTGTCACACAGCACTTCGAAGTCGGTAACCTTAAATTCTTCCCCATCGTACGATATGGACGCGTACGGCATTTTACCAGACCATTTACCGGGGAAGGTATTTCTACCTTGTCTCGCTCGTATAACATACAAACCGGATCCGGCTTCGATTGCGTTCGCTGGAACATTCCGATCGGCATCAACCGGGAGCCAAGAGAGAGAAACCTCATGAGTGGCCAATTCCCACGCCGTTCTATAGGAGAGAACGAAATACATTAAAGACGAAAACTCGACTGTTTTATTTTTTGAAGATTATTTTCACTTGTTATTCTAGCTTTTTAAAAATGTATACAGGAAATCATTCCTATTTTATGCAACCAATCATGTCGATGTATTACTCAGCTTTTATCAAATTATTCAAACCACATCTCGTCTATGAATGAATGCAAACGTTCTTATTGGAACTGTGTGAGAAATAAAAGTCATTTTTTTATTATACATCTAAGTGTGATGAACAGGAGACGGGGCGAACCCCATAGTCACTAGAAACTGCTGTTCAGTGATGGTAACCGGCATCCTAAGTTTCGGGAATTGGAGTGGCGAACCACATAAGGCCCCGTTAGGTACTACCTGTTTCATTCGGTAAAATCGATACGTCATCCTCGATCACGCGGTTCTTACCTCGCCTATGTTTACCGTTATATCTGTGAGGTACTATTCATTGCGAACATCCACACAAACATCTATTTTCTCCCTCAGTCTCTATCGATTATTCGTAAGAAACTAGCTTTTAATAAGAAATATGCATATATTCAATTGACGTGTATTAAGCTTTATCTTTAAAAATAAGTAGGTCACTATCCGTTGGCTTCATCTGATATTTAATTATAGTCATAGTTGTAACTATAATATTATTATTATATTTTAATTGAATTCGCATTCATCTCACAGTTAGTTGTTTATTGCTGTCCGAACAAATTGACTAATAAACCATTATTGAAAACGACATCTAAACAAATAAAGTTGTAATTCTAATCAGTCAGCTAGTATGTACGAGGTAGCACACGCACATTCTCCATGCGATGGGTCTGAAACGTGTGTGGTCCGCATCAACGTAACCTATCCCATACTCCTACTAGTTGTGGCTAAAAACGACTGATACGTTTGTCGTGCATGCCTGCAACCGGATTGATTGATCGATTGATTGCGTGACAGATGCTATCTGCTCGCACACACGCGCTCACGTCATGCGGACTGACTCTACTACAGCATCGATCGGCTCCAACCAGTCAGGTGTAAGTATTGAACTGATTTTTGCTNTTTTGCTGATTGGTTCATTGACGTTCTCGAAGCTTGGTGGACGGCATTCGGATGTCGTATGCCGTGCGACTCGATTGTTGGCCTTCCTTACTAGTTGTCCGCTTCTGCTTGCTTACCGACCTACGGACCGAGCGAGCGTATTTACTTACTAAACCGGGGCACAGCACTGAAGCGTGTTGGTGGAATGCGAACTTATTTAATTGATACATGAATCAGAACTACACAGGACAGTATAATTGAACACAAGCTAATAAACAATCAGTATCTCACGGGTATAATAGTTGGAAAATGGAATATTCTATTCCTACCTCACACATATGGATCTATTACAGCGTAACGGTGAAATTTAACCACCAGTTTTTCATTGAGGATTTTGATGGTAAAATCTACTTACTTTGTACATTGTTGTGTGATCGGAATCTTCAATTTTCGTGAAAGCTTTCCCTTCGTCGGTACGGACGACTTCTTGTTGTGAAAACCACTTGGGTCTTTCTTCAGTCTATACACAAAGGATCTGGAAACTTTTAAAAACTTGGCTATCTCCGAAATGCTGCGGTTTGCACTCAAAGCGACCAAAGCGGCATCTCTTTTCATTCCACGAGCTAATTTTGCATGCTTCATATTCTGGTAAAAAAAATGCAAGTACCGGTCGCATCGATCGATTGACACCCATGTTGTACGACGAATAAAATGATACAGCTTGATTTTTACAATATTAATATACACCACATGCGTTTGTGTTAACGTTTTCGCATATGACTGGTGCCGCTTTGATACGACCGACTGTTCAGATAAGCCTAAAATGAAACAGACTTCACGCCAGATGAGCTTCACTTCTAGAGCTAGGTAGGACAATGTGGTTTCACCCATTGCAAACCTTGATCCAGTGGATCTCAAAACTACAATTCTACTTAATAGAATTAAGTGAAATCGCCACAGAACATTTCACATCGGAAAATTCATTACTTACGCTCCAAATATTATTTGTCGTCGGTGAATATTTTAAAGGATGTTCTTTTTGTTGTCTAACACGAAACAAAGCATTCAAAACGTGCCACATACTTCTACTACAATCATCTGATTTGACTAACCGGTATGTCATTCACCCTATTCTCTAGTCACAAAATGATTGATCTATGAAGGTCGTTGTGATTCTATTGGTTTGCCGACAAACACGTGGCACGTGAAACATTAGCCGATGTGTATGATGCACTTGAAACCGTCCCCTCACTCTTTATCCTGATTTGGAAACCATTCCCCGTAGCTTGTAGTTCATATATTGAATTTGAAAACATTCAATGGGGTCAAGTGACAGAATGGAGTGTTTTTTCTTNCATGATATGTGTGTGTGTATGTGTGCAGACAGCAATTGATTTTTGGAGAAGTTACTGGAGTTTTACATAGCCTTCAGAATACGGACAGTTCTCGACGCACTTTAACCGCCGGCGTCCCATGCAATCTCGGTTATTGAAACATATTTTGAGAAACCGTAGATTTAAAATAAATATGATTGCAATTTTTAAAATAAACATTTTTCTAACGAGCTTTTGTATTCGAAAATGTAACTGTGCTTCCTTTATTTTAATTTTTCACCTTCAGACCATGACGGCGTTGATAAAAGATACCCATTATCCAGCGGTGGATTTCACCGGGTAGTACTGTGCACACCGATTGATGGACCGATTATCGTTCTTTAAGTTCTGTTGGATATGCGCAGATGTGTGAACCATAGTGGTGGTTTCGTCAATCGGACAAATTGTATGCACACAAATAAGATGGATGAGTTTTGAAGTCAGATTAAATATTATTTGAAAAAATTTATTTGATCTTATTGCTATGATTATTATTAAAATTTTACTCGATTTGTTGATGATGTTATTTGAGAACAGTACAAGTATTTACTAAATAAATCGATTCTTATTTGTGACGTATTAAATAATTGGATCCATTTTACAAGTTAGTTTATACCTTGATAACTGAGCATTCCCTCTTATACGTTACGGGTTGTTATGATATTATTGATTATACTACTCATGAGGAGCAGATTTATAACTGCATAATTTTCGGTCGATTTGGGTGCATGAGGGTAAATTGGGCCAAGTTTTCCTTACCACGTGTTATTCTGTGAACGATCAACGTACGGCCGGAACAACCATATCAATTGGGTTGTATCGTGGACAAATTATAACAAATATGAATGAACCGAGGCAATCACAAAATGAAGTATACGGTTCTAAGCCCGTATGCATAAAATGATACAATGAACGTGCTCCAGTTCTCAGAGCACGAGAGATAAATCGGGTCCGAACGTATGTTTTCATTTTCAAGCACATCTTTGAGTAGATAATCATTTTACATCTGTCTGAAGTATTCATTAGTCCTTGCTTAGGATCATGAGAAATAAACAGTCAGAGTGTTCAAAAAAGGCTATTATCAATACCTAGCCAGTGGTTTTGACATAATGTATATAATATATGCATACATATATTCACAAAGAAAAGAAAAACGGCACCTATAATGAACTTGCTGCCGACAATGAGCGGAAGTGTAAATAATTTGGCTAGCATATCATTGAATAACAACTGAATTAAACACGGATAGTGTCGTTGTATATCTGTAGTGTATTACATAGTTATTGAAAATAAATTTCGAAAAGGAAATTTCGAGAGGGCTTATTCCTTACGCCATTAGGGTTATTGTATCTGGGCTCAATGATTTTGTAGTACCAGGTAGATGTCAAGTATTTGGTCTGTAAATAGCTTTTGATTAAAAATGACTTACTATAATAGTAGTGATAAGCCCAAAACACTGCATCTGTTCTTCACATGAATGGTTTCACACGGCGAGACGAACGAACCATGACGATTGCACATTAAACTCGCGTTCAGTGAATGACTGCTGAATGTTTGTCAGTAGCATACATTTTGTTTACAAATAAAATGCAAGTGACATGAAGGGTGGCAAATTTTCGTAACATACTGCACCGTAACCACATGGATAGAAGAGCATTCTGTAATTTATTGGATGAAAGCCTCTCCCCCCCCGTCCCCGGAAAATAACTACTTTTACGGCTTTCTTATCACCTATATACACCTATGTACAAAAAACGCATAATGTTTGCTGGTACAAAGACTGCTGTATGTTGGGGATGAGGGAAAAGTAAAAGATGATTCTATGAAGAATTTCACAACGAAAGAAACTGAAAGCTATCATTCATTAAGAGAATTTTATTAGGGGTAAACACGTAGATAAAACGAAGATTAGTGGATGAATGGCTGCCAACATGGAGCAGAACGAGGGTAAAAGATTGCAAAACACAAATTATGCGGATATGAGCTCTTTAAATGACGCCTCCTAAAAAAACTGAGATTAATGAATAACTAAAGAAAGCTTATTGATGATACCCGGGAGAAATATACATGGCTGACGCTTCTATGTTATCCTTTTATACCGGACAAAGTCGAACATATGAAAGGCATCAAGAGTGTGATTAAGACCAAGTGCAGCTCACAATTATTAAGTGCGAAGACGATGTTGTATTCGGAATCACGCACACTGATGCATCCCTCATCTCCACTCTTCAATTATAACTCTCTTATCTCGCTCACTTGACGAACTGCAAACAACGCATCTCTCAAACCCTCAAATGCATGGATATTCTGTTCTTAATTATCAGAAGAAATCAAAAGACATATCTTTAGAACCCAGAGCCTTGTGTGAAGACTTATCACGATGGCCGGTAGCATGACTGTACAAGTATAGCTTGCATACAACCAGACTCCAATGGAGTTGAATCGTGCCTAAACGGATGTGCTGTTCATTACATACCGACCATTTACCTTCTGCATCAGTCTACTGAATCGACAGAATACCTCTGTGATTTCCTACATTTGATCCGTTTACCCTGCCTAATATGAACACACTCATGAAATAACTTTGAACTCGATTAGCACGACTTATTCCTGCATTTCGCTCATCCTGTTCAAGCGTTTGAACCCATTTTGCAGACCATCCGAGTTTACCTCAGTCGCTCTTTTATTTTATGCTTGTAATCAGAATAAAATACATCAAATTCGTCCGCAAGTTTATGTCGCACTTCCGCCAACAGCCCGTATCTCTCAAGCTACCCTTTTGAGAAAAAATCATCTCCAACCGGACAGAAAACACAAAGTTTATCAACGAGAAACCAACAAAGCAACGAAGTATTAGAATTAGAACATTCGGTAGCACAGTTCAATTAGTCCTTGAAACTCACTGGTGCATGGGATCCATGTTATCATTACCACCGAGTTTTTAAAATCATACGACGTACCACATTTTGTCTGTCTTTTCACAGTCAGTGTTTCCCAGAAATGGATAGAATTCCAAACGCTTTCTGCCAAGATTAGTGGGCCACTGCGACTGTGCAATCCTCACAGATCCAGACGAGCCGATGACCCCCGTGCGATCGTCAAAAGTGTGCGAGAAATGCACATCCGCGCATACTCGATTCAACTCCACTGAATCAGCCCTACCTATCCGGTTCATGAGTAAGGGAGTATGTGAAGATGCTGATACTGGAACGAAGTTTGCGTCACACATTGAAAACACCAAACGGGAGGGGTGTGTGTGTGGTGGTACTAGCGTCCGGCTTTTCACTCAACAAACAGAGTTGCAAGAAACATGTCAAGATTCTTTTGTTCAATGGTTGAGAAACTTCACCACGGTTTTCATTGTTAGTCGTCGATTGTTTAAAGCCACTTCACTCATCAAATAAGAGTGTCGTACAAAAATAAATATGAATTTTGATGACAAGTGCTGAGTTAAGGTAGCCTAATCTCATCAATTGGCCTACGAAGCAACAAGTACATCTGAATATATAATGGGATCTCTGGATAAATCAGAAAGGCCCCGCTGCAATAAACGTGCAATTCCAGCCAACCGGAAGAAAAAACGGAGATCGCCTACTTCAACTCTGCGCGGACCACGTATCATTCCTATCAAGCACCACATTCTGGCACGAAAAACGATATCACCTTAAATAGTGACCTCCTTCTTCTTCACAGCGTTGGACCCAACTCGACCACGTCGCCGTCACTTACAGCTCGAGGGCTCGATTCAAAACTGCCGCTTTTACTGGTCAATATCTGTGGATATGGACCACTTTTTGTTACGAGTTACATCCCTACGCCTGCTACAGAACTGCAATTAAGACATCGACAACGGATACTCATGATTTATTATCAGCTATTGTTTCGAATCGACCTTCAAAGCGGAGCTCTGCGACCACCTATCAGTTTAACCATAAGCTATAGGACTCAAGGAACACTAAAACGAAATCAAATAAGCTATGCAAATATCGATAACATCAACGTCGGACCATGGCGCTGGCTCAAAGCACATACCGTGGATCTCGTTAACCTCAGCCACCATGCTGGATGAGGAACGACCGCAATAAGTGGTGGGTGGGAAGGTTCAGATAGATGGAGGAAGCTGCGGCTATTAGTAATAGTCACTTTTGTCCGTCTTATTAGGAATATGGGTCCCAGAAAATTAAACTTGAGGTAATTAAGGAATCCGATAGCACACTGATTCATCATTCGTTGTTCAAGGGGATTTAGGTTGCTCCATCGATTGCGCGA